TGTAAGAATTACTCAAGCGAGAACAATGTGAAGTTTTATTAAATAAAAAAAATATAGTTCTTTGAATTTTTCAATATAAAAAATAGAAATTTTATAAGTTTTAACGTTATATATATATATATATATATATATATATTTGTTATTATTATATAAATCTTATTATTGTTCTAAATTATAATTTCTTAAAACAATGTATTAATTTATATTATTAAATTGAAATTATATATATATATATTAAATTATTAATAAATAAATAATAATCTTATTATTAAATTTATTGAAATTTATTTAAAAAAATAATTTTTTTTTTTAAATTATGGCGGGCTAATCCGCCGTCCCTTAGCGGGACGGGCCAAAACGGGGTGGGCTAGCCTGTTCTACCATCCCTATGAAAACTTTGTGGAGTTATTTCTTTCCCTATATTTTGCAGCAAGTGGAGGGCTTCCGTGAGCTCTATTTGACAGAGCAAGAACAGAAACTGGATTTAGAAAGCGAGGTTAAGGATTGCAAGGTGCTTTAAGTAACTAGAATGTTTTCCTTACGAAATTAACCTTGAAAAATGTTGTCTCTCAATTTAAATTACTTCCTCAGGAGAATTTGGAAAAAACCAGAAACGCCTTGCATGATCTCCAAGAGAATTACAAGCTTGTAGTTTCAATCTTGAAGGAGAAGGAAAGCACCATTTCGAAGCTACAGAAATCAGGTAATTCAATTGATGGGTTAGATGTTGGCAGATTTATTTTGTTTTTATTCGATTCACTCTGTGATTTGCTTTACTTTGTGTGTTAACAGAAACTGCCTTGATATATCGTGCAAAGGAAATGTGTACTGATCTGAAGAATGCATCGGATGATATTAATTTACTGTCCTCAAATTTGGGTATGTTTTATTCTAGTTCAAGATTTAAAACGCTTCCACAAGAAATCTGCTTCATCAAACATGAAAAATGAAACTGAGGATCTCGCATCATGTGCTATTTCTTTTAGAGACGGATATGTTTCCGAATGGAACTAGCAATAGCAACTATTAAATTGAAAATAATGATGCACCTTATTTTCGGTTGTAGGAATGCGATGTGTTTGTGCACATCCTAAATATTTGATTTATCCTTCAATCTGAGGTCTGATATATTATATTTTGCTTGCAGATCATAAAGAAAGAATGGAGGCAGAAAATCAGAAAACAATTTCGAATTTTGGGTCTCTCCTAAATAATAGCTTAAAGGACTTGCATACGACCATTATGGGATCAGTTTCTCAACAACAGAAACAACTTAGAAGCATGGAAGATCATGTCAGCTCCTATCTTGCCAGTAAAAGTGATGTAAGTCAAAGGAAGATAGCTTGTCAGTTGCAAGTTATGTTTGCCAAGTGTACACCATAATTAATTTGTGATAATCTTTTCCAGGCTGCACAAACTCTAGAATCAAGGATCAAGAAAATGACGGGAATTTACAATTCAGGAGTAGAGACCCTGAAGGAGCTAACTAATACATTGCACACGAAATCTTCATCTGATATGGAACAGATACAATCTAAAGTTTCGTCGCAAACATTGGCAGTTGAAAATGTAATACAAGACATATTAGTTGATTCTTTTTTAATTTCAACCCTCATTGAAGGCATTATCTGCTAATTGTTAGTTCTATGCTCCTATATAAAGTTGATTATGCCGTGCCTCCTTGCAGTTTCTTGCCACTGCTGTGTCTGAAGCCAAGGATGTTATATGCAACATCCAGAATTCTATTGATGAGCAAAGACAGCTTCTAGTATTCTCCCTTCAACAACAAGAGCAAGTACGTTTCAGTTGTAACTATTTTTTGTTTAGTTTTTTTTTTTTTCTGGTATAAAAATTAGAGCTATATTTTTAATCATGCCATTGAAAATTTCATGTACCAATGTTAGGGATTACAACAAAGTATGACTTCAGCACGAGTTGTTTCAGAGGCAGCTATAAACTTTTTTGATGACATTCATCTTCGTTCTTCAAGAGTCAGGAAAACTCTTGAAGAAACTCAAAATGAGAGGTTCCAGCAGTTAGCTAACTTTGAGAAGAAGTTTAAGGTATGCGGATGTTGAGATCTACACTTGTACACCCCGATTTCTAAAGTCAGACTCATGGTTGATTTTTTTCCTTTAATCTGAATCAGGAAGAGGTTGAGAGAGAGGAAGGGCATGCCTTAGAGAAAATTGCAGCGATATTGGCTACCTTGACATCTAATAGGACTGCTATGGTCAGTCGAGTGCATTATTGTTTCAATTCCTTGGTGTTGTACATGTTTAGTATATATGATTCACTGACTTCTGAAGAATATGTATTAGGTCTTAGAGGCATCAAGAAATATTAACGACGCAAGCATGCAACATTCTAAGAGATTGCAGCAAGAGATGCTCAACATGCAGCAAGTTTCTGAAGATGGTACTAAGGAAGTTAGTGGGTATGTAGAGAATGTGAAAAGTCATGTTGTGCAGCAAATATTCTCAGCCAGTGATATTAAAGCTACCATGGAGAATTGCCTCCTGGAATGGTGAGCTTTTGTTTTGTTCTGTTTATGCTCCGTAATTTTTTCTCTCTTTCGTTTAGAGGATAGATAAACATAGTGTTTTTACATATGAAACTAAGTACAAAACTAAGAAACTATGCCAATGATTTGAATGAATTTGTTAAAAATAACCGAAATTTGTATGTTTTAATAATGTTATGCAGCTCAAAGGCAGTGGAGTGTTCTAGGAAGCAGTGGGAAAGTGCCAACATGTCCTCCTGTGATCTCCTCAAGAACCATCTTGCAGAGATAGAATCTACAGTGAAGTAAGTTTTGCTAGTTAATGTCACATCTAAATGAGCTGCAGGAAGTTAAAAGTTTATGACGTTTTCACTTTTATTAATGCTTAACAGGGAAAACATCTTATCAAATCATGCTCTTAAGCAAGAATTTGTGTCTGCATCATTATCTTTGGATTCAGATTATGATGCAGTAACACGCACCCTGCTGGCAGATGTAAATGGTAAATTCTAGTCCTTACATTCTAGTCCTATCAGATTATGGGTTCTCTCTTATTGGACTGACAAATTTGCATTAATTATTCCAGATGCACTAAAGCTGGACCATGAGAATAAGAAGGCAATGGATACCATGACCACAAGGTGGTTGGAGCAGCTTAACTCATTACAAGATAAGCATGGTGAAGATGTATCAAATATCCATGTTCAAGCAGAAAAAAGCCTTGTTAAAGATTACTTGGTACATATTTTTTCTTGTGGTCATATTTTGTTTTCTTTGTGGGAGATTTTGCACAAGTCCTTAATTTTATTTATATTGTGAAACAAATTTTAAGCTTTTTCTGCTCTTTATGAAAAGGTTGATGAGAATGAAAGATCTCAGAAAAGAATTATATCAGTTCCCAGCCCGGCATCCTTTGAGGAGATGAGGACACTGATCACAGAAGACAAGTCCACAGAGAACCCATTAAAATTGATCCATGCAGAAAGCAAAATCTCACGTCTAGGAGTATCTCCAAATCGAACTCCTTTTGCGGACGTGAATTCAGTCAGTTGACAATACTTAGAAAGTTTGTTGGAGTATGAGAATGAAACTCCACAAAGCTCATCACTTGATGAGCACCAGCTCTAATATGTAACCCAAAGTTGTGTAAGCTTGTAAGATCGACGCTGGGACTAGTGTAAAATGTCTATTTGAATTTTCCTATTTAGTTGATGTGTGCTTTTCTGCACGCAAATTTGTTTGTAGTTCTATTTTCTTCATTTGTCTAGATTCCTTATATAAAAATCAAATTGAATTTTCTAAGCACGCAAAAACTGTTTTACAAGTTGTTTTTTGCATTGCTGTCCTCGTCTCACATTTTTCACTGTTTTTCAAAATCTGCTGCTCCTTTCCCTTTGTGACTTGTTGTGAAGAACACACTTCGCCTGATGCCGCGTCACGTCTCTCTCTCTTCCATTCTAGAAATTTCCCTTCTTTTCAACACAATCACCGGATCTAACAGGCGGCTCATGAAAAACAAAAGTCATGTTTTTTCGATCCCATTTGATGAAACCCGTTTTCGTAGACACCAAGAAAAGAATGTTTTATTAACCAAATTGGCCCATTCCACCACCCCAGAGCGTGTTGAATTAGATCTAAAATTCTTCACTACGTAACATGCATGCACCATTCACACGAAACCAACTTCCTCACTTTACGATCCGAAGAAGTAACTTTCCTTTTTCTTCATCAACTTTATGCTAAAATGGATATTCTGACTAAAATATGGAAGCTTCATGGAACTGTTCTGTATCGGTAAATATCCTGTTAGCTCACTGCTCACGGACTTTCACTCGGTTGCTCAATCGTGTAACCACGTGGCTACAGTGTGAACTGTGAAATAGTATTGTGCGTGGAAGCGATCCTCAAGTGGGCCATTTTCCAAACAAATATAAAATATCTCAAAATTTACTTATAATTTTAGAAACTCACAAATATTATCTAATTTCTATTTTGTATATATTTTTGTTATATATTTTAATTTAATTAGTGATATTTATTCTTAAATGAATGTCTTAAGCGCGATGTTAAACTGAACAAAAAATTTGAACATTTTAAAAATCTGAAAATCAAACTACCAAGTTAAGAAATTTTAAGAGCAATTTATAGAAAGAAAAGTATATTTCAGCCGACAAATAGCTAGGTCTAAGGCGTGCAAATACGAAAGGGAACCATGAACATCAAACAAAGTCAGCAATTACGCAAGCATGAAGGGTATTGACGTAATTGCAGGAAAGTCAAAAAGTCAAAGTTTTTTTATGAATGTAGCATAATGATACTATAATGGAGTACCTTACTCCGGTGAACAAAATGGACTTTCCTTGTGAGGGAAGTTGAACAAGAACCAGTGAGCGCGCTCCACGTAATCAGTTTTTGACTTCATCAGCAATGGCCTATAAATACTCAGCATCAGCCTCAAGTGTTGTTCACATAACCAAATTCAACTCAACTCAACAACATGGTAGCCATTCTGAAGAGACAAAGAGAAACAGAATCCGAAGAGATTAACGATTTGGCGAAGAGTCTCGTGCTACTCTCGCGCCTCCAACAAAGCAAACCTCCACTCGAGAGTTTTTCGCCGCACGAGTTCCAGTGCAAGACGTGTGACCGCAAATTCCCGTCGTTCCAAGCGCTCGGGGGCCACCGGGCCAGCCACAAGAAGCCCAAGCTCGAGGGAGAAGAGGGGAGGGATCTGAGTTTGGGCCGGAAGCCCAAAACGCACGAGTGTTCGATCTGCGGACAGGAATTCTCGTTGGGCCAGGCCCTGGGAGGGCACATGAGAAAACACCGGGGCCAAGGGTTTCCTTCCATTGTTGCTTCGGCGCCGGTGCTGAAACGTTCGAATAGCAGCAAGAGGGTGATGTTGTTGAAGATGGACCTGAACCTAACGCCGTTGGAAAATGACTTGAAGTTGTTGTTCGGGAACAAGGCTCCTCGAGTCGATCTTTCGTTGTAGGTTTTCCTCATTCTTTCATTCTTTTTCCTGTAAAAAATTATGTCATTCACAGATCGATTAACTTTGAAATTGATTGATTCATTCGTTGGGATTTGTGACGGTGGATCCCTGTTTCGCGTTCTGAGGAAGCTAAGAACACTGAAAGATAGATAACAGGGCGTTTTCTTTTGGTGTTGCGTAACGCGTAGATAGGGTAATAACGTGGATCATTGCGAAACCAATACTACGACGTTTCTCGCGTAATATTCTGGCTTAAGAACTGTTTTTTTACTCTCTTTATTTTTAAAGTGATTTAGGGTTTCTTAATCAGAAATACGTAAAAATGTTATTTTTGTAATTTAAGTAAATGATTGCATATTAAATCTAATACTAAATTTTGATTTTAAAGTGAATAGCTCAATTTTGGGTTAATACTGCATTTTACTCTAACAAAGATTCAAACATAAATCTACTTTTATTATTATTGTTATTGGGATCATTTGATCTCGGATAAATTTTAAGAGTTTAGTTTTGATGGATGAAAAAGTTCTACATTTTTTACTAATTATGTCAATGATATATATCTTTTTTTATAACGTTAGTAGGATAGAATATGCATATTAGAAAATCTAGAAGATGGATTTGACACTTTGTAAGATAAGATGGTATGAAAGAAAGTCTAGAACATTTTGTAAATGTTTCTTTTTTGGGAAACTTTTCTTGACTAGGATAGAGGGTAAGAGTTAGGTAGTGTTTTTTTTATTAAAAATTTAATAAATTGAGTTGAATTATTTTATGATTAAATCAAACTCAATCTAGATTATACCCTATTTTTTACGAGTTAAATTATATATTTTATATATTAAATACTATTAATATTAATAAAAAAATAATAACAATAATAATATAACTATTATTCATTTATTTCTTTTACTAAATATTATAAAAATATTAAATAATATAATTTTTTTTAAAATATTTCAAAAACCTAAAGAATATTTTAAAATTACAAATTTTTAAAATATATTTTTCCAAACTATAATATAATTAATTCAATCCATTTAATCGGATTAAAATTGAATTGGATTAAACCAAAAGAAGATACATAAACTCAACTTATTTTAATCTAAAATTTTGTAATTGGATTTATGTACACCCGACTTCAACTCTTCATTTCTTACGCAACAATACGAATAAATTACGCTGAAATTATGTGATGTGTTTATGCAAAATACTCTTTTATATTTTTTTATTAATATATATATATATATATATATATATATATATATATATATATATATAAAATATAGAAAACAAACCCATACTATTTGGAATATTTCGTGTATTAATGGTTTGTATCAATAAATACGCTCTTTTTTTTACATCATAACATTAATACAGAAAACTCTGTTGCTTATTATTTTATTTTATTTTAAATACCTAGCTATTCATTTTTAGCATTATTTCTAGATTTATCCAGAGTTTGATATTTATAAAATTGAAAAAAGAAAATCACTAAATGAATTCAATCTCAAATTTACTTGCACCACCTATTTTACTTGAAACAGAGAGATTATCATAATCGAATTAAAATTAGGATATTACCATCACTCAGGACAAAAGTTTCACGTATTTTTTTTATTGATATTTTGATATGTTCATAAGATTTACATTATACCTTTTCTAATATTTTAATACCGTTATAAGTTTAATATTATAACTTATTTAACCTTTTTAAAAATAAAATGATAATAAAATAAAATTCTAAAACAAATAATAGATAAATATAACAAAGGAAGTAACATTTAAAAAATATAAAATAATAATTTGTGATTTCATATTAATTTTTAAACAATTTATTATTAATTTTATTTAAACATTTTTAATAGAAGTGATTTATTGAGATACTTAAATAAAATTATTAATTGTTTGACTTAATTTCTCATTTGAGGAATTCTAATTAGTATGATAAGTGTTTAAATTTTTTAAACAATTATTTTATCAAGTAATTTATAAAAATAAGTAAACTAAAATAAACGGTAAGAAATAATAAGTTCTTTAAATTTAAAAAAATTATAATAAAATAAAATCAACAACTTAAAAATGACATAACTATTTTATAATTTTTTAAGATAAAAAATAACTTATATGAATTACTATTAGATATGTTCTTAGAAAAACAAATGAATCAAAGTAAATTAAGAGAGAAGTAAATTAGAAAAGAGAATGAAATTTTTAAATTTTATTAAAAAAAAAATCAATAGAAATGATGTAACATTATTTATAATGAAAAATAAATTCATGTGAATTGTTTTTATTAAACATGTCTTAAAAATTTTTTAATAAATTTTTAAAAAATATTTTTTTCTATTTTCTCTCATCATTTACTTATTTTTATAAATTTTTTGATGAAACAAATATTAATAAACTTAAGTATTTATCATAATGATAAGATTCCTTTAGTAAAAAATTAATTAAACAATTAATATTTTATTTAAAAATATTAATAAATAACTGCAAATACACTACCATTTATTATGCAAGATTCTCTTATTTCTATAAATATATAATCTGATTTAAAGCACTTGAAGGAGCAAACCATGAGAGAGTCACGCATTCATCATCCATAGGCAAAATGTGAAGGCAGCACATACATATTGAACAGAGACCAAAGTTCTTGATTCTCTCACATGCTATGCCATCACACTTTTAAATAAAAACTTCTAAATAATACATCAACTTGTTCTTCTCAAACATCAAAAATCTCTCAAACTAATATTTCTTTGATGTAGGGTATAATGGGCCACTCCAGTAGGTCATTAGCCCTGGCCCACCATGTCAACCCATTGGATTCATCTTCATATATGATGTTCGCAACTGGTTACAACTATTTTTAAAACAATGTTAGACATTAAATACTTGTTTATAGATTTTATAATTTAATATTAAATTAGAAATAAGTTATTTAAATAAAATATCTAATATATTCACTGTTTGAGTTTAACTTGTCCCAATTGAAAAAAAGATGAAGTAATTTTAGTTTAATTTAATTTATCTTTATCCGATTTAAACGGTCTTTGTTTAGTTTATCCTAATTTAGATTAACTTGGTTCAACTTACATAAATATGACCAATTTTAGCTTAATCTAATTTATCTCAGTTTAATTTGACCTTATTTAACCGACATTAATCCAACTTAGTCCAACTAATCCTAATTTAAGGATAATAAACCTGACTATTATTTAATGAATATTTTAAAATAGACATTCTTTTTGAAATTCTATTTTCAAAGAAAAAAAATTACTTAATAAAATTTGACCCACGGGCTGGTCTTATAACCCTTAACATAATTTTTTTTTCTTATCTTTTTTGGTCCTGATTCACGTGTATTAAACTGAATAAAAAATGTCTCGGTCAAATATCAATCAAAAATTATTTTGACCTTGAAAACTCTGATTTTAGATTTTAAAAATTAAAAAAAAAATCAATTCAAATTCATTTCATTAACTTGGATTTAAAATAAAAAAATGCATTTTATTTTAAAAAACCATTAATTTTTTTAAGTAATTTAAGTTAAAATAGTTATAAATTTAATTTCAATATTTAGAACAATGATAAATATCCTTAAAATTCCTAACCTATATATATATATGTATCTCATCTACACTTTATCACAACTTAAAGAATATTTTTGATTAAATTCTCAAGTAGTTCACCAATATGATGTTTTTGCAATATTTTAAATGGATCTTAGTTGCAGTTGAAGACAGAACCATCTTGAGAGCATTTTTGAGTTTGGTCAATGGCATGCATCTCATGAACAACACAAACATGAATTGTTTATACGGAGTCAGACAAGCCAACAACCGTTAACACTCTTACTTTCCAAGTTCAACAGATTTGAAGCATTCGTTAATGATTATCATTATAAACAAAAATAGCCTCCAACAAATGGTTTATTTGTTCAAACCAGTCAAAGACCTTGACTTTGTCTCAAACGGCCTATAAATACCCATTCTTAAACCCTAACCTTATCATCATCATCATCATTCACATCTCAATTTCAACACCTTCTTCCACGTATTTCACTCTCTAAGTTGATTACTTTTCATGGTTTCATACTGATTCTTCGTTAGTGGCCATGAAGAGACAGAGAGAAGAGAACCTAGATTTCGCAAATTGTCTAATGCTACTCTCTCACGATCATCCCAGAGAAATCAAACCCCAAAAACTTTTAGGCCCTGTTGAATTTGAGTGCAGAACCTGCAACCGCAAGTTCTCTTCTTTTCAAGCCCTTGGTGGCCACAGGGCGAGCCACAAGAAGCACAAACAAGACGTGAAAGAAGAGGACGAAATTCATAAGCCCAAAAAGCACGAGTGCTCCATTTGTGGGCAACAATTCTCTCTGGGTCAAGCTCTGGGAGGACACATGAAAAAACACAGAATTGCCCTAAACGAAGCGTTTTTTTCTTCAGTAAACCAGGTTGTGGCAAAAGTCCCTATTCTTGAAAGGTCCAATAGTACGAGGGTTATGTGCTTGGACTTGAACCTGACCCCTCTGCAGAATGACTTGAAGTTACTGTTTGGAGACAAAGCACCCAAAGTTGATTCCTTCGTCGTCTGATCAAATTTTTTCACATCAACTACTCTTTGTTTCATTCAAGAACTTGTTTAGTTCTGAATTTTTGTTTTTCTAACACATGTATTCTTTCGATTCTTTGTTTAAATGTTTGGTTTTTTTTATAGGATACACTGATTTTGTTTAGTATATACTTAAATATGTCATATGTCTCAGAAAACATCATTAATTATGTGAAGTAGTGTTGTTAATTATGTAAGAACCTTTTTGTTATTTTTCCTATTTCCAATTTGTGGAGGGTATAAACTTCTGTTTTCATTGCAAAATCAGCAAACGAATAAAAGGTTTCGTTTTTTTTTTCTTTATAAGCAAAATATAATAATTGGATGCATATCATACAGACATTTTCATTATTTATTATATCACCATTTTGTAGACACTTTCAAAACAAGGCCAATTACTTTATTGTGTACTTCTAAACTACTACTACTGTTCCTCAAATCGTATAAATATTGCATTTTATACATACTTCAAAAAAAAAAAAAGGATTTTTCTCATATTATAAAAATGTTACCTATAGTTGCATTTTTCTCATATGGGCACTATTTTGAGTAATGTTAAAGAAGAAGAAGAATAAGATAAATATAAAAGTAAAATTTGTAATGAAAAAAAAACTAACATAATAAATTTAGAATAAAAAAAATAAAGTTTAAAAAAAATATTTTTTGAAAATAATAATGTAGTTAATAATAACATGAAAAAGAATTAAATTTTTTTTTACTAAAACATAAAGATTTAAATTTGTAATACAAGGATTCAAATAAACGAAGAACAAAGTAACAATTTGACTCGATTTTTTTAGAAATAAAATGCAGTTATTTTCATACATTTGTAAAGAAAAATAAAATGAAATCCAAAGGTTTTGTTTGTTTAACAAAACAGTGAAGTAACAAACATTTTTGAAGATCTGAGATTGCATTTTTTATGAATTACGAGATACATTGGACATTTAGCAACGCACTACAAATAAGTCCTGAGATCAAACTATAAACTCAAATAATTCTTGCAAGTAAAATCTAAATAGATATTTTTATAATAAAAATAAAATATTTTATAAATTATAGTTATTTAGATGTCTAAGAATATAATAAGAAAAAATTTATTTATAAACGATGATTAAGCATCGGTTTTCAACGAGAACATTCCGTAGATAGGAATGGATTTGAGTAAAAAAGAACAACTTATAATGGATTGTAGTGCTTGAAAAGGTTCAACGCTGAAAGTCCAATTAACTTGTTACGCCAAAAACGACACCAACATAAATAAATAAAGTCCCAAGCTTAGTGCATATATTTTGTACTTGGTCAAGTATATCGGAAAATAAAATCTTTCTACAACCTTTAATTTAAATTATTTATTTCAAATTCGGATAAAAGATTTTCATTTTGAAAAGTCTTTCTCCTTTATACTTCAATAATATAATCATGCATCATTTTGGGTGAATCATAATTAAAATAATTACTTATGTAATTTTTACTTAGATAAAGTTCATTCCTTTGTTATATTTTTCGAAAAGATTTAATAGATCATATTTTCTTATATATTATTTAACTTATTTAGAATCATATTTGGATTATCAAAAACATGTTTTTGGATCTTTCAAACAAATCTTTTAACATAGTTTTACACATCTACTCATGATAAAATCCAATAACTAGGAAGGTTAGGAACAAATTTAAATGGTGTACTTAGTTATATAAAGTAGTGAAACGAAGAAACCTTGGAAAAGAGAAAAAATCTAAAATTATGTATTCAACATGTTTTGTGTAAGTATTTTTATTATAAAATTCGTTAAACTCGTATGTGAAAGGAAAGAGAACTTTAGATTCATTGAAATGAATAATTTAGTTAATGATATTGATTAGCCTAAATTCTAAACCTTAAAAAAAACAAAGAGACAAAAGAAGGAGAGAGATGTTTTTAGTTAAAAATTGTTTTTTTTTTACCATAAACAAGCACATCAATTTCTAAATATATATATATATATAAAATAACTTTTTAACCAACAGATTGGTTAATTAATTTTTTCTTTTGTGAAATGACACCCTTACAATGCTCCTCATAATGGCTCAATTTTCTGTTGCATGGAAAATAAAATAAACGACGAAAACGAAAACACGGTCTCAAATTGATGCCTTTTGCCATTGTATCCCTCTTGCTATGAACAAAAGATGAAAAACTTATTTTCTTCGGAAATGCCTAATTATTAACAAGTTTTCTTTTTTATTTTGACCCACCGTTGCACTTGCAGAAATGATCAAGTGCTTCTTGAAACAAAATCTATCACATGAAATTGGTACTTTGACAACGATATCCACTATAAGTAGCTTTAGCTTGTATATATATATATATATATATATATATATATATATATATATATATATATATATAAAGCCAGTATTATGTAATGGAAGAAGAAACAAAAAGGCCTATATAATTCAGAAACTGGCCATAAGTGGTCGTGAGGTTTATCTTTCTTTAGTAAGCATGCAAATTGAGATTTTTTTTAAGTGACCGAAAGGATTGGTATCCCCAACTTTTGTACGAAAGCATGTTACTATTTCATGGTATCGATGGTGATTCCAAAGAGAAAATTAATTTAATCTTATACTAGAATTATAATCATTTATATTTTATAATATTATTATATCTCTAATTAATTAAAGATTTATTTTATCACATTCTTTTGTTTAAAAAAGATTTTTTTTACTTATTATTATATTTAGTTCAATCAAAAAGTTAAGATTTGTTTTTACATGTTAACGATAATTTAATAGTTGTAGTAAAAAATAATTTATATATATATATATATATATATATATATATATATATAAATCTATTCGTATATGTTTTAAAAATAAAATCAGGACGGAATAATATCTCGAATGTAATAATTGATATTAATAATATTATTATAATAAAAATAAAATGAAGTTACTTTTATTATTTTAAAGAGAATTCCAAATTGTTAGAAAAGTTTGTGTGATGGAGTTATCATGCTTTAAAAGCCTTCGTGCGTGGTATATGATTGAGGCATATATTTAAAACTTTGAACGAATATGATTGATAATGATGATACCCAAGCTTTTGATTTGTGAAGCATCTTACATTATATATAATGAACTATTTATGTCTAAACGCTTCCATGATTTTTCCCATCATGAAGATCCTAGCTGAGTTTTAAAAAATAAGCATTCCACCACTGCTTTTTAATCAACTCACTCACTCAAACCATCTTTTTCTTTCTTAATTAATTCATACATGATTAAATTCATCATGCAGAGGTTCACCACTAATAATGAAATAACCAGATATAACTAGGAACAAATGGTGTTCAAGCTCTTGGTTCATGATGATTAGTCATGAGCCAAGTCTTCTACATGATGATTTTATGTTAAGTTAATTAAACCAATATATGTATACAAGGAAAGGAAAATTTGTTGTGTATTTTGAGGATTAACAATAAATATATTTTCATAAATGAAATATAAATCAATTATATAAAAAAATACGATATTATTTTTAATTCAAAATATTAAGACATTAAGTTATGAATTTTTTTCCACTTATCAAATATGAAACTTTAAATTGACACTTGAATTTTTAACAATTTTATTTTCCTGATTCTCTTTCACATTGGTATATCACTATCTCAAATGAAAGTTTTTTTAACCGTAAGCATCTAATAATGATTTTACTCATACTTACTTATTTATTAACTATAATTGCTCGCATAAAGACATCTCAAAGTATTGAGTTTTTATTAGCTGGAACTTTATTGGTTATCTCATGCACATGTTAAAAATATATGATCATATATAGTTCTTAAATTGAACTTGTGCAAATTTTGAAGAACTATATATTCGTTATGGTAGACCTTGTATCCATTGACATTTTCCTAAATAATCAGGTGAAGCGTTGTGCCAGGAAAAACTTCAACTTGTTGATGAGATAGTAGTTTCTAACTCTATGGGCACATAAAATGCAAAGCACGTGAGAATTCCCAGAGTCAAAATTGTTATAGTCAACCTTTACAACTCCTACCTAGCTGTATTTATTGATGATGTCTATTTATTTAGCTGACCTTGTTTACTCTCAAATGAAATGACTAATAATTTGAATCTCATGTCAACTAATAGCATGATATAGAATATCTTGTGAAAGCTAAGCAATGACATTGCATATCACACTTCTCTTTCATTTTGAAACAATCTAAACCAATCCACATTCAGATATATCTTCTAATCAAATCCTCATAATATTGTACACACCATGTATATGTGAAGGAAGAAGTCCCACATCCGTGGGAACTTCAATTGGGGGCTCTCCTCCTTCTTATAAAAGGAGCCCCTCCCCCCTTATTTCATACATCCCAAATATTTCTCCTTCTTTCTCTTTTACTTTCCTAGTATTGGTAATTTCCAATTGTAAAAGGAAAGAGTGGTCATTATAAAATTTTCATTTTTGCCTATTGTCAGGGTTATTTTTCTCGTCTCTATTTTAGTTGTGTGTATTTATGTTGGTACTCTGATCCTAACAGTGGTATCAGAGCTGCGTTCGAGTTCCGTTGCGCGTCACTAGAATAGTGTTGGTAAAATTTTGAGTATGCTCTGTGGTTGCAGTTTAATCTGATCTTCCACATCAGAAAGGAGTTGTTACTGGAAAAGGTGTGGTAGTGTGAAAGTACTATTGAGGAAAGTTACGGCTAGGAAAGACTTGGTACTTAAGCGTGTCCATTAGTGACCCACCTCTCTTTCACGGGAACCTACTTGGTGTACTTGGTTCACGGTTTACTACTATTGTTCGGTAGACAATACTATTTATAAGTGATAGTTGCATAAGTGCGTATACAACCATGGCGGCAAAGTACGAGATAGAGAAGTTCAACGGGAACAATTTCTCGTTGTGGAAATTGAAGATGAAGGCAATCTTGAGAAAGGACAATTGCGCAGAAGCAATTGAGGGAAAACCTGCGAAATGACGGA